GGGTAATTTGGACCTCACTGTACTATCTTTGAGGAATAGTGGTCAGGTATCTTATAAAATGCCTTTCAATTTGAGTTTGTCCAATGTTATTCTCATAGATAGGTGCTACAGATTTTGGAGAGGAATACCACAGAGATCTCTATTGTATTTTCAACTATCTATAATAATTCTTTCAAAATAAAAAGCAAAAAGATATTTTCCAAAGGGGGATGATTAGTAAACTAACGAGTCTTTTCTAGCCCTCCAACACAGACTCCTCCCCCGCCTCCCATTAACAATTCACATTAACTCAAGTTGTTTGGACTGTGTTAGGGAAACTAAGCTTAATTATATGCCTCCAACAGCTCTCATCTGTTACTTCTGTGCAACAAAAAGATTTGGGGATGGAGAGACCAAGCGTTGTAAAGGAAAGGGTTTGGTGTCTACCTTTGGAGGTGAGGCATGTGGCAATGATTGGACAGGTTCTGGGGGATTTGGTAATGCTCTATTTTTTGGCCTGACTGTTGGTTACGTGGGTGATTTCTTCATGATTATCCATCAAGCTGCTTGATGGATATTTTAGCCCCATTCTTCTACAGTTATCAAAAATGAATCTCAACCCTTGGTGCCTCCCTTTTACTTGGGCTTGCAAATAAGATCTAAGGGGAGAGGATCTCCTTGGCCTACGGTGCGGCTCTACCCTCAGAGCCCTCTGCCCACGCAGGTGTCTGCGGAGATGCGGGGGGCTGTCACTGACCCACCATGTCTACGAGACTCCTCAGAGTCTGGGCGCTGTCTCCTCCCTCTGTTCTCAGGCCTTGCTTGGCTGCACAGCAATACTTTCTTCTCCTTCTATGACATATTGAGGCAGCAGGAACCCGGTGCGGCTCTAGTGTTTTCCTGTCTAATTACCCACACAGTCATTCTTCCAGTCTTACGACCCTTCCAGGGAGAGAGGAAACAACTTCTGTTTTCAGATCCCACAAAGCTAATTGGGAGTTTCATTACACCAATGCTGGATCAGTTTTGGGTGCTGGGGGTGGGTGGTGGTGGTAAGGGGTGTGTGTGTGTGCACATGTGTGTGAGAATGCGTGCTCGTCTGTGAGTGTACATGCATGCATATCTGTGTGTGCACATGTGTGCATGTGTGACTGTGGTCAGGTGTGTGAGTGCAAGTGGGCATGTGTGTGCAAGTGTGTGCATGCATTTGTGTGTGTGAGAGAGCGAATGTGTGCATGGCAGTAAAAACCATCAGCATCTAAGCTCTCATTGATTTCCACGTGATCCTTCTCTCTCCCCAGACAGACCATCTTTATCAAGCCTGAGGGAAGATTCGACTCCCAAATATATTTTATATGTTCTGAATTATTTTTATTCCCTCCTCCTAAAAGTTTGAAGCTCAGAATGTAGAAAGAGACTCGCTGACTGTCAGTAGTAGCTGGTGAGTGCTCTGGGGTGAACAATACCAGGAGGGGAAAGAAGAAAGAGGGGGGTGAGGGAACAACTGTGGTTAGCCCAAAATTTCTCTCCTGCTCAGCAAGCTCCGAGAGTCCCCGTGGGACTGCAAGGACTAGAGGACAGGGGCCCTTCCACCAGAGCCCTGCCATGCCAGGGGTCTTTCTCCAGCAACTCCTGATTTTGTGTCTCTCCATCTTGGTTTCAAATACACAGGAAAAGGCACCAGCCGCAGTCCAGTGTCCTCCCTGGACCAGTCCTTCTGAGCAGTGGGCCAGGCCATGGTCTAGGCCTGCGTGCATGGGAGGTCCCCAGCGAGGGGTGATGGGGGGGTGCAGTAGACCCCAGGTGGTTTCTACTCAGTGCTCTTCAGGCTGCTACTCAGTCTCCCTCCTGCCTTCTACCTGGCTCCAGAATCTCACACACTCGGAGAACGTGCACAGATATTTTCATTGTAACAGCTGCCAGTTGCAGTCGCCTGAGCTAAGAAACCAAGAAGAAGTTGACATTTTATCCTTTCTTGGCTAACCCGTTATGATCAAGTTCCTCACAGTGAAGAAATGAGGCAAAATGCTGCAGGTGTGAGCACTCACTATTAGCAAAAATAATTACAAGGGAATAACAACTTTAACTCCTACAGTGGTGTATAGTTGACGAAGTGCACTTTCCTTTCCATCACCTCAGTCTCATGGCAGGCTGGTGGACTAGGCTTCCTAACAAGCAGTGATTCCTCCCTTCCCCCTTTGCTCCTGGGTCGGCGTTCCATTCAGGCGTGGCCTCGGCAGGGTGGGCCTCCAGGTGTGACTCCTGCCTGTCAGAAGCCGTCATGCCATTGCCTCACCTTTCACTGAGGACTGACTCAGGGCTGTGGGTGAAGACAGCCTGTTCCAGCCAATGAGACGTTAAGAGAGACACTGGAGAAATACTCTCTTCCTTACTAATGAGAGACCAACAAGAAGAGGCTGCCCTTCCCCTCCCCATGTTTTGCTTTACATGTTGCTGTGTGGGGGTGGCACTTTTGGAGCTGGCGCAGCCACCCGGAGCCTGCACTCCCGACACCCTGAAGAGGGGAGCAGAGCTGAAAGGTGGGAGGGCCCCGCGTTTCCACATCGTGCACAAGCTCTGCAGCTCAGCAGCTCGAGAAGTACCTGCTTCCTCACTTTGGGTCAAGTGAGACAATAAATTATCCCACTGGGTAAGCTATCTTTAGCCTCACGTTCTGTTAGTGACCGTTGAAGGCATTCTCCCTAGTATATTTTGCAGATAAGGAAACTAAGGCTCAGAGAGGGTAAATGAACTGCCCAGTGTTGCACAGCTGATAGATGAAATTTTCTGGACCAAACCCATATTCTCAGATGTCACATCTTGTTTCAGAGTCAATTGACCTTTGTATGAAGTCACAAAAACTTTCTGGCTTGGTTAATATTGGATCCTAAGTGAGATCCTTATTCATTTCCAAATGCCATCCACACCCTGAGCATCTTCTGTAATGACTTGCACAAAGCAGATGCTTTATCAGGCATGGAACTTCTTATAGTAAAATTGGTGTGGCACTTGAACCTCTCCCACCCCACAGCCACCAATACTCTCATGCCCTCACGTGGTGGTCATCACCAACCAATATTGGGACTCTGTTTCCGAACCTGGCATGGTTTTAGAATCTATGGCAGTTCAGGCGATCACTGCTAACCAACCGTTCTTTCCAAATTGGTATGCCAAGGTTTGATTTGTTTCACAGCACAGCCCCAGCTCAGACACAGGCTGGCTTGGAAGCAGATTTGAAGTGAGGGTGAGAGCCAGCCCGAGGGGAATGAGGGCGACCACATGAGGAACAGCACAGGCACTCTGAGTGTTGGTCCTGGGTCTGCTGCTCCAGAAATGGGTTTATTAGGTAGTTACTCTGTTCCCTTATCACGCGAGCACTACATTAAGATTCCTCACAATTGGTTTGGTAGTTCTGTAGGTTTTGGTTTGACTTTCATTAAGTAGTCATGTAAAAAGCAATAATTTTGTGTCTACTGTGTGATAGGTACTGTCTGTATACTGGAGCTATAGAAGGAATAAAACAGGAAATTCTCAGGAAGGAAAAAAAAATTTTGATGGAAGAACCAAGAACAACAAGAGAATAGAAAACCAAGGTGAGAACTGTTACAATAGAGTCAGATGCAGGTATTGGACAGCAGGGAAGAACAGGTGCAGTGTGACAGGGAAGGGCCATTTTCATCATGTGCAGATTCCACCTGGACGGCTCCTTTGCTCCCTCCTCTCCCACCTCTGCACATACTTGTGCAGAGCAAAAGGCATCTCTGCTCTGGAAGCAAAATGTTGAAAATTCCAGGCCCTAAATCGAAGTAGCATCAGATAATGGAAAAATAACACTTTTTTTTTTTTTTTAGCTGAGATCCTGCAGCCAATATTTCCAATGGAGTCGGGTACCTGCTTTGGAAATTGCCAGATAGAGGTCACCAAAACTTGTCCATTCTACCATATCAAGGAAAAGCCCATTAAAACTGAAACTTGGGGCTCATTTGTACATTTGGGACTGAGAAAATATCCTTATAAATGTTTCGAATAATTCCTCAGTAAGACAGCTTCGATGAGAATGTTTCTAAAGGGTGAAATTAAGCCCGAGTATGTATTTCTTGTCAGCGTGATAGTTCATTAGACTCGAGGGCTGTGCTGCTGCAGGAGCAGCTCCCAGCTCCTATTAATGGGGAGTATTTGGAGACGTTTATGCACTCAAGCCCCACTTCACGCAGGTGCCGTATTTATGGAAGCCTCTTACTTTATAGTTCATTGAAACGAAGGAGAACACTTCACGTGAAGATTACATGCCATGGCAGGAGGAAGCAGGTCTCAAAGGGCATGCGAGAATGTCCCCATGTCCCCAAGGGCAGTGGACGCCGAGCTTCCTACAGCTGCCACTGGAAGAGCCATTTTGTCTTTCGTCTGAGGCTCTATAACCGCTACTTGGATAATCACAGCTGCTTTTATTGACCGGCATCTGAGGAGGCTTTTAAAAGGAATGTTGAATTAGAAAAGGGGAAAGAAATGACTTCATAACGGATTAAATGCCGGTGCCAGGCGTGAACGTGTGCTATTTTTACCGATGCTGCCTTGGCTTTCATTGTCCCCATCTTTCCCATAGTCAATATTGTATTGCACACTTCTTAATGAGGGGCTTGCTCTAAAGCTAAAGTGCTTTGAACTCGCTGGGCTTCCATTCAGCTCAGCTGGAGCCCCCTGCACCGTGGTCTGATGATCACTGCCATCGCTCAGAGGACAGGCCATTAGGGCAAATTAGAGCACGCTGTTTGGTGAAAGCTCAACCCTCCAGTGAAGAATATGTTTTGTTCCCTGAATGCATCATGCTGTGTTGCTAAACTAGTGTAATTGCACATCTATATGCCCTCACTTTCTCTGTGAGGGGATACAGCCGTATCTACACAAAACAGTCTTAGAATCAATATGCATAAAATAAAAAGAGCAAGCAGGATGAATTTGCCTGGAGGCCAGAACAGAACACAAATGTTATGTGAAGGTGTTTACTTCTGCATCAGCCGTTCATTTGTTCAGCGGCTCCTAAACTCCTGACATTTTTATGCTGTGGTAACTTAGACCCTTTGTGCACTTCAGGATTTCCTAAAAGAACAATCAGAGTAGAAAGGATGTGAGAGAAATAAAAACAAAGGAGTGGAAAAACATGACAAAATCTCAGGAAATGGAGCGGGAGAAAATCTAGGAACGAAAGGACTCTTTATCGAGATGGGAATAGTCATTTTAAATTAATAGAATTTTTTCCCCTTTCTGCATTCTCCTAACTTGAGAGCTCCTGGCTCTCAAGTTTGTGTATGCATAGATGTGCATGCAACACACACACAGCATGTACACATGTATAGATTAATAAAAACATGCCACATTAACCCAGTTTGGTTTGTCTGCAGCATACCTAGATTCGAAACAAGGGCCCTTGCTTCATCTTCAAACTCAATAACGTTGATTAGCATAATCAAGTTGCCCTTATGCATATAGCACCTTAAAAAGATCGTAAAAACAGCATCTACTTCTTAATTGAAGAATATAGTGCTGGGAGGGTAAAAATAAACTTCCCTTTTTATAATAGAATTTGCAGGATAGGAGGAAGGAAGTGTTAACTGTAACGGGTTCTCTAGACCTTGGATGTCATGAATAGAGATTACAGCTGAAGCAGGGCTCCTGGGTAATAGAAGCCATATATTTATCTCTATATTTATTTATATTGCCCGAAATGGAGATTTGCACATTTATGACATTTGATTACTATTTGTTGAATAAGTCTCTTTCCTTTGTCCAAGTGGAACTGCACTTCTTCAAAGCAAGCCTGTGGCTACAGCAGACACTGAAGCCAAGGAACTGCCACTCCCTCTATTTGATTTCTTGGCAGGATTGCACAGGATAGAATAACCCAGGTGCTAAGAACCTGAGCCATGGAGAGAGACTGCCTGGTCAAAACCCCACTCCTGCCCTTATAAACTACGTGAACTTGGGAAATTTATATAATCTATCAATCAAATCCTTATTTTCCTCATTTGGAAAATGTGGATAATATTATAGTATCAACCTCATAGAGAGGGTTAGATGAGTTATTGCATGTAAAGAGAACAGACCCCAAACTAAAAAGTGTTAGTTATTTTATGATCACTGATCAATCCCCTAATTTTCTTCCCTCAACCTTTATGACACCTATCTTTGATGTGAATGGGTTCCATGTGAGGCTTCCTGCCTTGTCCTCAACATTCTCTTTGGACAAGCTCAAAACCTAAAGGCTTCAGTTCCATCTATATGCTAATCATTCCCAAATCAGTAGCGTGCACTCTGTGTCTCAGTGGAGAAGTGGAGGACTAGAAAACCAGCTTCCTCTCCCACAAAACACGTAACTTGTTGCCTAAATTTGTGTCTATATATTAAAATGTAATGCATTTTAATTTTATATGCAAATAGCACTTATACTTAGTTGAAAAAATGGAGTTTATAACAAAAAACAACTATCTCTTTTCTACTCCATCAGCGTCCTAACCCTTCTCCCAGAGACTGCCACTTTTGCTATTTAGACTTTTTCACTCATTCATTCATCAATTTCAGTCATTATATATTGACTTCTGCTCGATAATTAAATATTTTTCCCTATGGAACATCCTATTTCCTCTCACCCTGCCTCCTAGTAGAGTTATGCAACTATCATTAATTAACCATTGTTGACTTTATTTTGCAATAAACAATTTTACATAAACAATATATGTATTGTTTATATGCATTTTGATTGTATAAATATTACATATGCATTGAGTGGTTTTCTATACTAACATTCCTTCACAGATTTTTTTGTTTTGTTTTACAGCTATTTGGTAATTTCCTGGCATCTCTAACTGCCTTTTATTGTCTTCTCTAAGAGTCTATTTGAGTTGTTCAGATTTTAAGGGATAACACAGAATTTCTTAAGTCACATTTTTTCCTGGATATCGCTCCCCTAGAGCCACTTATCCTGCTGCATCACCCTGGGCAGATGGCTCCAGCAGGCAGACTGCAAAGCTGCCATTCTGACATTTAAGTTTATTTTATTCCACAGAAGCCTGTGACTTCCTTTCTCCCCTGCCTCCCTGCCCCTCTTTTGTGATGTACCCCTTTGTTTTGTTGGAACCAGGACACCCAGCAACCTCCTAAAAAGGGCTGGTGGAATACACATTTCCACTTTTCTGTATGTTTGAAGTGTTTCTATTCTAATCTAATAACTAACTGATAGCTTGCTGGAGTATAGAATTCCAAAGTATTTACAGTTAGGGCTTTGAAATATTCTGCTATTTTTTTCTAACATCCAATGTTGAAGTTGAGACATATAATGTCAATATAATGTTTTTTTCCATTGTTAAGGACCCAATTATCTCCTCCTCTGAAAGTTTTTAGTGTGTTCTATTTGTATTTGGTGTTCTGAAATTTCATGATGATGTATCTAGATAAGGGCCTTTTTTTCAATCATTAAACCTTTTCCACCTAGAAATTTATTATTTTCAGCTCTGAGAAGTTCTCTTGTATTATTTCTTTAATTTCTCCCTCACCATTTTGATTATTCTCTCATTCTAAAACTCTTGGTTGAATAGCTGAGTCTTATCATTTATAAATATATTATACTCTTATGGCTTTTGGCATTCATTTTGCTGAGACTTGACTTTATTTTCCAATGTTTCTATTGACTTTTAAAATTATTTTTTAATTATAGTCATCATTTTTATTTTATTTTCATGAGCTTTTTCTTAGGCACATAATTTAGCTTTTATCACAGAATGCTGTTCTTATATTTTGGATACAATATCTTATCATTGAGGTTGCTGCATTATTTTTTCTTTGTTTGCTTTTTCCCTGGGTTAGTACTATTTTCTTGGGGACCACTTGCTGGGTATTTATATTGATTTTTCTCTTCCATGCTGCAAGATTTACTTAAATGTCTGGTGAGCCTTGATTCCAATTCGTTTGTTAAATGAGGTAGGATTCTAATACCATTCTTTAATAAAAGGATCCAGGGTTCCTTGCAGAAATGGCCTATCCTATGACTGGAACAGGGAATATACAAGACAAACATCTTATAGTGCCAGAAAATAAGGAAGTGCTCAAAAAATAATCACAACAATGGGTGCATGCCAAAGGGAAGTATGAGCTGAAAGAGCTTCCAGTGGCCAAGGGTGGAACATTTTCAGCAACAAAATAAATAACTCGGTTTTGGATTATAACCCAAACTATAAATAAAATAAATACCCATGAGTCCATACTGATATACACAAATGATTAAATAAATAAATGGGGAAAAAGACAAATTTTCCATGTAGAAGAATATCCAATAACTTATGTAGCTATTCTGACCTCCAAGACTTGGAGTGCAACATCCCATTTCTTAGATGTGGGCTGTGCACAGTAGCTTCTTCGAGGAATAAAAAGGGGAAAAAAGGAGTAACTTTATAGCTGAGAAACCTAAAAAAGCACAATTTTGGCCAGGTGATCAAAGTTAACATCATCTGTGATAGCCCTGTTGCTAGCACATATTCTTGATATGATATTATGAGAAGGGCACTTTATTTCTGTGGTTTTCCTTCCAAAACACCATAGCTCTAATCTAATCATAAAAATGACATCTGACAAATCCCAATTGAGGGATATTCTACAAAATAGCTAATGTTAGAAGATGTCAAGGTTATTGAAACCAAAGAAAGTCTAAAAAACTGTCACAGCCAAGAGGAGCCTTAGTTGATGTCTCACTAAATGAAATGTGGGATCCTGGATGAAATCCCAGGACAGAAAAGGGAAATTACATAAAAATGAAGCAAATCTGAATAAAGTATGGACTTCAGTTAATGAGAATGTATCAAAATCATTCATGAGTTGAGACAGACATATCATACTAATTAAGAGGTTGATAATACGGAAAACTGCGTAGGGTACAAGGGATTTCTCTAGACTAATTTTGCTACTTTTTATTCTAAACTAATACTTTTACTCTAAAAAAGTTTATTTGTCTAAAAATGGGGCAGTATAGCATTGTATTACAGCTCTGTGTGCATGGGGACATCTTTACTTTAGGGAGAGTAAGGAGATTTTTTTAGAGGACCACTTGACACCTTTTGAAAATACCTCTCCCACTTTTTGGTTGGCAGAAAGTGTTCAGCTCCTTAGGTTAAGGTAAGGAGAAGTGGGGGAAGCATAGGTTTTTACGTACAACCCCTGTTTCAGGCCAGCATTTTCCAACATGTCCTGTCTTCTTTGGCATGGCCAAGTTTAGAGCAACTCCGAGTTTCTGACAGGAAGATCCAGTCAGTTATCCGTTCGTGGTTCTCCTGATCTTACTCACACTTACCCACGTGGATTCTCTGTCACTTCTCCATTGTCTCTCCATCTCTGAGAGTTGTTTTCAACATGTCTTATCTCCTGATGACCTTCCATCCTCTGTTGTGTGTATGTGTGTGTGTGTGTGTGTGTCTTTTGTCATCACTTATTAGAGTTTCAGGGGAAGAAGGGATACACCTTGTGTTCAATAGGGCATCTTAATTTCACTCGATTTAGAAATCTGGAATTATTTTTCTCCAGTAGATATTCTTTTGTCTTCAATGATTCTTTTGTTATCATTGGTGCAATTTTAGAACTGCACTGGGAAGTCTTCACAGTAGAAGAAGGATCATCATTAAAGCAGGATTATACGGAGCCTTTCTCTGCTGTGAGTGGTGGCCGAGTGGCTGTTTAGCTTGAGGAGTCAGTTGTGGTACTTAATTAACTCCATCTCACCCTACTCATCCTACCTTCAAAGGTAGAGCATGGCCAATTACGAGTTCTGTGTGCAACACATGTATCTATCTTTTCATCCGTGGGCCCAGCGTCTTACCACTTATCTCCTATGCCCACTCACCTCTTCTTCTGAGGATAAATCTACCAACCATTTGCTTACCAGGGTCATTTTCCTATTTTTCCCAACTCGGGAAACAGGAAGAGAGTTGACAGATTTTCCAGTAAGAGAGCTAGGCTTTCCTTCTACCAGCATCACTTGATAAAGTTATTCTTCATTCGTTCTGTGAAATGCACATAATGAGCTGGGTTTTTTCCTGCCCTTCATCGTTATGTGAGATGGGTCTCAGCATAAACAGGGGTTCTCAAGAAGGAGGTGAGGCAGAGTCTTCACCCCATGTCCAGTGGGTGGACAAAACCCTCCAAGCAGTGTTTACTAAGGCACACATCCCTCATACTGAAATGTTTACATATTTCCTTGAGGGCCTGTCTCACCCTTCCTACTCCCCAAAATAATCACTGCCTTTGTGTGAGCCATGGTCACTGGTGGGGGTGAGCAGTGCCCCTCAGGTGACAGATCACACACAGCAAATGCAAACAAGTGGCCCTAGAGTAAGGGCCCTTGCAACTACATGCAAAAAATTTAATACTATAGTAAACTATGAAAATACTCATTTTCTGTATCAGTAAAATGGAAATAATAATGTGTAACTTACAGGATTACTGTGTTCAGTGATACACTGAATATAGAGTGTCTGGCATGTAAGTGATCAATGCATATTAGTTATTATTATTTTGGTAGGAAAAAAAGATTGAAACCCATCAATAGAAGCCAAGCATGGGAATATGTCCATAGAATTCAGTTCAACAAATATTTATCAAGTAACTGCCAGGTACTGGGGAAACAAGGTGAATAAGATGTTGCTCACCTTCTCAAGGTTTTGCAGTCCACGGGGGCGAGTCTTGCGTGAAAGGAGTCGTAATGCCTTGCTACGTGATGCGTGGGTTGCTATAGTAGCAAGGAGAAGACACAAATAATTCAGCTGGGTTAGGAGTGTGAGCTTCGGAAAGATTTTTAGGTGGAGATAATGTCAAAGCCTGGTGTTACAAGCAGGCAGCGGGTGGGTGAATATGAAAAGGAGAAAGTATGAGATAGTAGTGGAGTGAGACAGAACAGGTATGTATTCTCTAGTTTCGTTTTGTTTTTAAGATTCAGGAGCCAGCATTTGTGAAGGGAATGGAAGATCACATGAGGAGGCACAGATTTAACTAGAGACTCAGAAATCTAAAATTGAAGAACAAAGCGTGAAGGCTCGAATGGGGAATGGAACAGCAGTAATCAGTGGTAATCAGCACAGGTATCAAGTGGCTCAGAAAAACTGACACGAAGGTTTTCCTGCCATTTCAAACAAATGCTGTGAGTCTTTTTCTGCATTAATTGTCTTTAAATCATTGCATTTTCTCTGGCACTGAGTCTTCACAAAGCTGCCACACTAATGGATGGTATTAGTAATAGGTGAACTGTGTGGAAGTGAGAATGAGTATAAGTGCAAAAAAAAGTTGACTTTCATAAAGAAAAAATGCAAAAATACACTTGTCTTAGCTTGAATAATTGTAAAGCACCACATGACCCATAGATAGTTTACTTACTAAATAAGAAATACGTATGTGGAAAGTTTTTAAATTATTGTTCTTGGGTTTTGTTTTCTAAAGATGTTAAACATGAATAACATTTTCAATTACAATGGAGATTTTATTTAAAACTAAAAAACAACTCTGGGAGAATATAAAGTAGGACAACGGCTTCTGCTTACAGTATCAAAGAATATGCATTCCAGGATGGGAATAATAAGAGATCAGGAGTTGCTTCACAATTTTCTTTCCTCTTATGCTACCTGGATTCAGGGGACCAGTGGGGTAGCCAGTGCCTGGAGGTCCCAGAATGCCTAGAGCAGAGCCAGCTGCCCACCAAGATCACCAGTCTTTGAATATTAGATAAATGAGAAACAAATCACTATTGCATTGAGCCATTGAGCCATTTTCATTTGGGGTCTATTTATTAGAATAGACCCTATTTATTAGACCCCTCTAGCCTGCACTAACTAATCCACATGACATGGGGTGTCAGATTCCATTACTGGAGAGGTGGAGCAGTGGAGGAAAAGTGAATTTATCAGGGGGACATATTTCATGTTATACCTGTTGAATGGAAAACAAATGTTAAACACTTAATATTCTTCCAGAACTTCTGACCCTGTCACATTTGAAAAAAGTTAATGTCTGGTAAGAGTTTGTGTCCAGACTTTAATATAGTCACTGACCAGTTTACTGCAATGGATTCTATTCTGAGAGGCAATCGTTCCCAAACACCGGTTCAGTCTTCTTCAATTATCTCCTGCACACAGGAGCTTACCTTCTCTCACTCTGCCCAGACTTCTCATCAAAGAACACTTGCCTTACTTCAACACTTCCAATTAATGTCATCTCAGAGTTTCCCTGGGTAGCTTGGTCTGTTGCTCAAATATTCTTTTTACTGAAATACAGTTATCCTAAGGAGATTAAAGGCAGGTTCCTGTGATCACACACCCATGTGATTGAGCATCTGTTGCCTGGCCTGAGAAACTACTGCAAGATTGGGTTGGAGGGGAACTTGAAAGAGAGACCACCTGTCTTTTTGGTTTCTGTAAACACTTTCTTTCCACAGACACATTGCTTGAAATTTTCTTACTCTTTCCATTTACTGTTCTAGTAAAGGTTTGCTTGCCATCTCCTATAGGTTTAGGTATTGAGATGAACAAGTAGTAATGGAATAGATAGCTTGTTGATTTTTTTGCAAAATCTAATAAACTGAATATTTTATTTGAATCATTAGGTGTTCGAAAGGCATATGCAGCAGAAAATGTGCAATTTTAACTTTTGAAAGAAATAAGTTCATGCAGAACTACTAAGAGATGTTTCCAAAATAACCAACATGCTGCCATGACTCCATAAATGCATATCTCCTAACGATCTGTAGAATGAGGCTATTATTCCTTTACTGCTATGTCTTTTATTTAGATGATGAGAGTTATTATTCTAGCTATCATTAGATATGATTGTCACATTTATTCTAGCATTTTGTTACTTTATTAAAATATCGAACATTTTATCAAGACATGGCTCAGAGAAGAGTGATAACATTTTTGATATACATCTATCTATTCAGTCAACAAATATGTATTAGGAGCCTATTAGAAGCCTATTACTCATGGTAATATGGGATTAGTAAGCTATTTAGGCAGAAAGAGATTAATATGTGAATTAAGTACTCATGAAATAGTTGAAAGTACTAAATTGTAGGGTAGCAGACAGAGCCTCCAGAGTTTACTATTAGAATAATACTCCCAAATTGCTCTGCCAACTGAGCCTCTCCCTCTGCCACAAGCAGGAAGCTTCTGGGCAAGATATTACCTCCAATATTAACCTCCTTACCTGAAACTCAGGAGTTGTCCCAGAGCTGATTGTACCTGTTACTGATGCACACACAAGGTGTCTCTTATGCTAACACCTGTCTTCCCACTTTATTAGTTCTGAATTCAGCCCCTGTGCATGTACATATAAGTGAAAGAACATATCCCAAAACCTAGGAGCAAAGGAGTCTAAGAAGTGTAGATTTTAGCTTTCAAGACTTTGCAGAATGGTAAAGCACACTTCACAGAAGCAGAAGCAGATGCTGACCATGACAAGTCACCAGATCTTCAGATAGAAATATAAGAATAATTGAAAATAGTACAATATAGGAAATACAGATGCTATCAAAACACATAACGGCGGCATCAAAATCGAACTTGAGGGGATGGTCAGTGAAAATTTCCTAGTAGAAGTGATAGCTAAGCCCTGACTAGAGAGAAAAATGACTTCGCTAGGTGAACAGGACTTTTATCTGGGCTTAGTCACCTGACGGTTGAAGGGCATAATCAGGAGCCTTGAAAAGAGAGTTAATCAGAGCCCAGTCAAGTTGCTCTTTATATGCCAACTTAAGTAGTTTGTGCCTTTTGTTAATGTAATGAAGCACTGAAGGGTTTAAGAGTATGACATATTCAGATTTCCATTTTAAAATGTTCATATTGAAGGTAAAATGTGCAAAATGGATTGAAGAGGAGCAACAGATGAAGTAGCAATACCGGTGATTATGCAGGCTTGAAATAGGTTCACAAAAGGGATGATGGAGACATGTGCACAGGATTGAAAGATATTAATATGCATATTAACTAATATTTGATATTTGGTTTTCTATTAGGAGAGTGAGAGAGAATATATATATATATATACACACACACATATACAAGCATACACATATAATACATATATAAAGCTAAAGCTATAAAGTTATTCATTATAGTACAATACTACATATTGCATTTTATATTTATATATAATATACAATAAAATATGTATTTTATACTATGTTTTTGTGACAAGATAGTGCACAGTGGTGCCACTAACTATAATAGGAAGTATGAGATAAGTCACTTGATGAGTTTATAATGCCTATGGGACACCCAGGTAGAAGTCCAAGGAAATGTGGAATGAAAGTTCAAAGGAGAATTTTGGAATGGACACAGTGATTGAGGAATTACTGTCACACAGATGGCAGTTGTAGCAATAGGAATTACTACAATTGTGCAAGAGAGAGTGCAGAATAAGAAGGACAGAGAGCCCAACAGAACCTCGAGATTGGAAACATGGAACGGATTGGAAAAAGTAGAAATTGCCTCTAAAAATGGGGATGGAGATACTCCAATGAATAGAAGGAAAAGCTGGATTAGCATCATAGACATTACGGGAAGAGAATATTTCAGGAAGGGGAGGAATAATCAATAATTCAAGACTTCTGAGGGATTAAAACATAGTATAGTTCTTTGAGTTATCAATAATGCAGCTGTTGGCAACTTTGGTGTGACAACGAGGGCGGAAATGGGAGTTCAGAGGGCTGGGATGTGAGCAATAGAAAGAGGAGACAGGAATTTTAGATGACACTTTCAAGAGGCTGACAGGAGGAGAAAAGAATAAGGTAATTGCAGAGGTTAGGAGATAAAGGAGAGGTTGAGATATTTTATGTTTTTATGTTCATTTTTTATAGATTTTATTTTAGAGCAGTTTTAGGTTCACAGCTATATTGAGAAAAAGTAAAGAGAATTTCCATATATCCCCTGACTCCAAACATGTACCACCCCCTCCGATATCAACATCCTGCACCAGAGTGATAGATACATTTCGCAACTGATGAACCTGCATTGACATCACTATCTCCCTAGAGTCCATAGTTTGCATTAAGTTTCACTCTTGGTATTGTACATTGTAAGGTTTTCACAAACATATATTGATATGTATTCGCCATTATAGCACCACACAGAATAGGTTAGCAGCCCTCAAAATCCTCTGTGCTCCACCTACTGAATCCGGCCTGCCTCCAACTCCCAGCCCCCATGGATCTTTGCACTGTCTCCATAGTTTTGCCTTTTCCATAATGTCATATAGTTGGAATCATTTAGTCTGTAACATTTTCATATTAGCTTATTTCACTCAGTAACATGTGCTTAGGTTCCCCTTTGTCTTTTCATTAATACAATAATATTCCATTTTCTGGACATGCCACAGTTTATTTACTCATTCACCTATTTAAGGACATCTTGGTTACTTACAGGATTGGCAATTATGAGTAAAGCTTTTATAAACATCCACATGTAGGTTTTTGTCTAGACATAACGTTTTAATGCATTTAAGCAAATACCAAGGATCAGGGTTGCTGGATTATATGGTAACAATACATTTAGTTTTATAAGAAATTGCCAATTTTTTTTTCCTTATTAGCTGTACCAGTTTGTATTCCCACCACCAAGGAATGAAAGTTCCTTTTGCTTCGCATCCTCTGTCAGCATTTGGTGATGTCCGTGCTTTGGATTGTGGCCAAATAGGTAGGTAGTAATATTTCATTGTTGTTTTAATTTGCAATTCCCTAATGACCCATAATGCTGAGTATCTTTTCATATGCTTATTCATCACCTGTATATATGTCTTCTTTGGTGAGGTGTCTGTTAAGTTCTTTTGCTCATTTTTAAATTGTATTGCTCATCTTTTTTATTGCTGAGTATAGAGAGTTCTTTGCATTTATTGAATAACAGTCCTTTATTGGATATATGATTTGCAAATATTTTCTCCAAGTCTGTGGCTTATCTTCTCATTCTCTTGACAGTGTCTTTTGAAGAACAGAAATTTTTACTTTTGATTAACTCTATCATTGATTATTTCTTTCATGCATCCTTTGGTGATATATCTAAAAAGACATCACATTATTGAAGACTATCCAGGTTTTCTTCTATGTTATTTTCTAAGAATTATTTAGTGTTGCATTTTACATTTAGGCCAATGATCTATGTTTACTTAATTTCTGTGAAAAATATAAGGTCTGTGTCTAGATGAATTTATTCACATGTGGACGTTCAGTTGTTCCAGCACCAATTGTTGAAGAGACTGTATTTTCTTTGTTGTATTGCCTTGGATCCTTTGTCAAAGATCAGTAGACTGTATTTATTTGGGTTTATTTCTGGGCTCTCTGTTCTGTTCCATTGATATATTTGTCTATCTTTTTCCACTACCGTACAGTCTTGATTACTATAGCTTTATAGTAAGTCTTGGAATTGGGTAATGTCAGCTTCTGACTTCCTTCTTCTCTTTTAATTTTGTGTTGGCTTTTCTGAGCTGTTTTCCTTCTCTTACAAACTTCAGAATCATTTTGTCAATACCTACAAAATAACTTGATAAGATTTTCATTGAAATTAAATAGAAGATCAACTTCCTCTGTCAGTTTCAACATGTAATACTTAGAAATTGTCATTTCTATCCTTACAACAAGAAAATTCTGAAAAATTGAAAAGCAGTGATTTTTTTGTGCCTCTAAGATAGTCAAGGTTGCAGGGCAATGCATCACCATGAATTCTGGGTACATGAATGAGGAATGGATTGAAATTAGAGAATCTATTTCCTGTGTCAGCTCTCATATGTAAAGTGCCTAGAAGTTGGCACTTCCATCTTTACAACAAGAAAAAGCTGAACGAATTTTTAAATAACTGTTCTTGGATCCAGAAGATAATTTAGGTTTCAGAGTAAACCATCACCACACAATCTGGGGAGGTGAGTTAATTAAGAGCCACGGCAGAGATATGCTTACTCGAAACAAGCTCAAGAAACCGTTAACTGTAAGAACAGTTAAATGGTAATTCTGAAAAATTGTAGAGGCTTAGTGTGAAGCAGCTTAAGAGTGAGAAACTCATGGGGGCCACAGTCTTAGGGGGCTCCCACACTTATGTGGATTTTACTTCCAGGAACCCCACCAGATTTTCATGTTGAAGAGCCAAGGAAGTCCCCTCCTGTTTTTGGCAAGGAAAGAAAAGAGTAACCATCACAAAATGCTCCCATAGTCTTCCCCATAACAAAAGCCTCCAGGAACAATGATCTTACCAGAGCATCATCCCACCGGGGAGAAGGATCGTTCTCAGACTCTATCCCTCTCTTGCTTTCCTATCTTACCTAAGTGGGGAAAGCTAAAGCAAACAACAAGCTGTTACCAGCCTCCAAATGGTGTGTAACATTCTGCAAGTTCTTGGTGTTCATCAGAAAAAGAATTTCAGGACACACTATGTAAGCCAAGCGAATGTACGCTCTCAGGCAAGAGAGCTGGCAGGCTCGAAAGAGAGCGCCTGCCCTGAGAGGAAGTGGTTTTAGGTCTTTTGCAGTTTTACTAATTGAGGGGAGAAATATCTAAGACCAAGAAGTTGACTTTTTCTAAGAATTTGGGTAGTAATTCCTAGACTTGGGTTCCCTCATACTGTATGTAGTTCTCTTGGAACTGTCATGGTGATTTTAAGGGTGGATAAATTTTAAAGCCTCAATATAAATGATATTATAATTAGCCAAAGTTCATGTAAGGTGACAGAGATAGCTGACAAGCCAGTTGAAGTCTGTTTTTGCCTGTGGTTATCAGCCCCTTTTGTTTAAGGTTATTTATTTTAACACCTGCACCCAATCTTCACAGCCCTGCATCTGGTCTCAGCCCAATCTCCTACTCTAACAAAATCAACTAACCAAAGAAACAAAAATACATGTGAGGATCACAGGCCTACAGGCTCACTCCAATTATAAGATTTAATCATAATATTACAGAATTCTTAGCCTCCCCATTTATTGGCATTTCACCAGCAGTTCTCCAGTAGAACAGTGGATTACAGCTGAAAGAGCTGCAAGATGCAAACTCTAGCTAAGAAGAAGTTCTTAGGGAATCACCAAAACAACATGGGATATGAAAACAAGGATACTAAGTAATTTAAAGCCTCTGGCACCTACAACTAGAAGAAATATTAAACATAGCCCAATTCCTAGTCACATTCACATAAAACCCCACAATACAGGCCTGTTTGTTTCAATTTCTAATATCTGACTTTCAACAAAAAAGTAAAAGGCATGTTAAAATGAAAGAGAAGCATAGTCTAAAGACACAAAACATTCATCAGAACAAGACTCAGACATTTTAAAAATGTGAAATTATCATGTAGGGAATTTAAAATATATGATTAATATGTTAGGGGCTTTAATGGAAAAAGTAGACAACATGAAAGAACAGATGGGATATGAAAGCAGAGAGCTAGAACTCTGAGAAAGAATTAAAAGAAAATGCTAGAATTAAAAAATACTATGGCAGAAATGAAGATTGTCTTCTATCATCTCATCAGTAGACTTGATATAGCTGAGGAAATCATCCATGATGTTAAAGATAGGTCAATAGGACCATCCCAAAATGAGATGCAAAGAGAAGATGGAATGAATGCAATATTAATAGAACAAAGCATCTAAGAACTGTGGGATACTTTTAAAAGTTATAACAAATATATAATGGAATGCCAGAAAGGGGTACAAGAAAATATAGAAGAGAATAAACATTTCAAGTAATAATGACCAGAATTTTTTGAAATCAATGACAGTGTAAAAACCACAGATCTAGAAATCATAAATAATATCAAGCAGGATAAATAGCAAGAAGAAGGAACGGGAAGTAGGTACAGTAGATTTTTGAATATAGTAGTGAGGTATGGTACAGATTACAGAGGATCCTAGGATTTGCTGGACATGGGCATAAGGGTCAGTTCCCATTTTATTGGGACTGGAAAGCAGGGCAGGTATGGATCTGGGAGCCTTGCTTGGTGTTAGAAAGTTCGGATAATATCAACCTGTGAGCAGTTGCTCTCCTCCTCCTCCTTCTCTTCCTCCTAATTCTGTAATGCAGAATTAATTCCTCATCATGTGGTTAGGTTTAGGAAAGAGAGGAGTTTCAAATTTAAGGATTATGGTGAAAGTCTGTTGAGTTTTGAGGCCCTACATGAGAGGCAAAGCTATATATGATTCTGTGGTTGTCTTCACTGGTGCTCAGGGGTATGAATGTAGTTGGTATGGAAAGAATGGACTTTAGGATTCATCAAGGGAGTTCTAGTGAGTCTATTAGCTCATGTAATGGGGGAATTACATGAAACTCTCTCCTCATGGGCCACCTCCACCTCTCCTACCCCAGCCCAGCCCTGCCTTCCTCCATCTGAGCATGAATCCTCCCCCTTCTCATCTGCTCATAGTATTTATTTATTCTTCTCATATAGCACATTTTATAACTCAGCTTCCAATTACTTCTTATATTCTTTTTTGGAACAAAATATGGTATATAAAATAAATGAAAATGAGAATAAATCAGTAATATGTATAATTTACAATGATTTAAATGCCTTGTCTCTCCTTCCTTTTATAAGTGTGACAGTAAGTATAAAGTAGTAATATGTGGTGGGATAATAAGTGAAAATATTATTTCATCTTCTGTCAGCTGCCCTTTCATGTGGCCAGCCCTCTATCATTTGACAAGCAGATGGAAAGTCACCAATATAGTAAAGATCAGAGAAAAAGACTAATTATTTATACTTAGTGTCCAAGTTCAAAAAAGGACCTAGTGTGGGTCAGAAGAGATTTGAGAGGCAATGCAAAGAGGTAGAACAGAAACCCCTTGCCCCAAAAGAAAATGTCATGACCACCATTGAATAATCCAAAACATTTTGGGGAGAATAATAGAGTTAGATCTGTCTTACCTATTAGTGCTGCTATAACAAAGTAGCCAAGACTAGGTAATTTATAAAGGACAGAAATTTATTTTCTCACAGTTCTGGAGGGTGGGAAGTTTAAGATCAAGGTATCAGCAGGTTTGCTTATCTAGCCAGCGCTGCTCTCTGGTTTCAAGGTGGTACCTAGTTGCTAAATTCTCCCAGAGGGGAGGAACGCTGTGTTTTCACATGGTGAAGGGACAGAGCAGGTGAGAAGTAGTGAACTCCATCCATCTTTCACAAGAACACCTAATCCCATTCATGTGGGGGAAGCCCTCATGACTAAATTACATCTGGAAGGCCACACCTCCCAATACTATTATATTGGGGATTAAGTTTCAACGTGAAATTTTCAGGGTAACTAAAACATTCAAATCATACTTGTAAGGACCAGGTATCCATCCTCCCACTATACCAATTACCTTGAGATGAGAGAGGTGAGAAGCAAAACAGAATGCTCCTACCCAGTTTGAAGGCAGCAGGCTCACAAATGCCATGCCACTAAGGTACAGAGCAGCAACCAAAGGTCTTGAGTGTCACCTGGCTCTTTGTTGGAACCCATTCCAACAAAGAGGATTTGTAAATTACCATGGAGGCCTCAGCAGGGCCTGAAGTCAGCTGAGGGAGAGTGAATATCTCCCCAGGAGGTCATCAGGCAGGAGCAAGAGAAAATGCAACAGAAAGATGTGGTATGAACTGCCCTTCAGGGTGCAGGGGAAAAACTCATCGCAACTTGAAGTATATGTGGCTCCAGGGAAGCAAAGTGGGGGTGGTGGAGGCTGGGT